TCCATCTTTTCTTTTTTTACCAAAGACGACCTAAAATAGTCATGAAATACCTTTCAATACAGAAGCGTATATATTTACAGATTTCAAATCTCTGAAATGCCTCTTTCCGTCGCACTATTTGTCAAGTTCATTTTCTGCCTCTCATTTCATGCTGGAGGAAAGCAACATACTTGTCCGCTTTTCAAAATGTAATCGGAATATATTTCAATTTTTGATCCGTGTTGTCGTTGGTTTCGGTTCACGCAGAGTGAAAAACGGAGAGAAATAATTATAGTAGATTAAAAAATTAATCTAAAAAACCACGTTTTCAAAAAGCAAAAAATAACCTTAAATGTGGTGCGCATCTATTTCATTTGTATTTCACTTCTTCCCAACAATCTCCATGCGCACCACGTTTAAGGTTATTTTTTGCTTTTTGAAAACGTGGTTTTTTAGATTAATTTTTTAATCTACTATAATTATTTTATTCTTTTTAAAAAATATTCTTAAAATTTATTTTTTCACAAAAGATTGCATTGTCATCAGTTTCTAGGCTATCCTGAAAGTTTCAGCTTGATAGCTAGTCGGGAAGTGAGTGAAATTTGAGTTTCAAAATTTGATCCGGACAAACAAACAGACAAGAAAGTGAGTTAATAAAAACGTGTTAATTAATTAGAAAAAAAAATGTTCCAGGGGGTGGGATTGAACTCGGACCTCTGCGACCAATTCAGTTCACCATGGGTTTTTTTCTTGGGGCCAAGGAAAACCTGCTCAAAGTTTTATTATAGAAATCTACTAAAATTATTTTATTCTTTTTAAAAAATATTCTTAAAATTAATTTTTTCACAAAAGATTGCATTGTCATCAGTTTCTAAGCTATCCTGAAAGTTTCAGCTTGCTAGCTAGTCTGGAAGTGAGTGAAATTTGAGTTTCAAAATTTGATCCGGACAAACAGACAGACAGACAAGAAAGTGAGTTCATAAAAACGTGGTAATATAAAAAGGTATAAATTCTACAATTATTGTTCGAGGGGCATTTTAACCAGATCATATGTTTATATCGTACATTTAAGTATTGTAAATTCATCTAAAGTTTTGGATCTTCGGAAGCGCTTCAAATTTAAAGGCACGCGATATATCAAACATACGCGTGTGAAAATATTCACTGAATCAAAATATATGCTTGTGTATACAGCTGTGATTGACACAGATTATTTTTTGGTTGACTGACACTTTGAGAGAGGACAAAGCAGGCTATGATGCATCACAAGGTATATAAATATAAGCGGCTGAAGAATGACTATATGGGCAAGAAAGGGAGAAAATGGGATGCAAATGATAAACCCGGCAGGGGGTGACGTGACGCCGAAAAAAAAGAAGTTTTTCTCCGGGCCCAGCAAGTGCGAACCCGATTTTCTCTCGAGCACAAACGATTCCGCACAAGTCTTCACACCGAAAGATGCGGCGGCGAATTTCCCGAACCTGATGGCCCGGGAAAAAGGAAAAGAGACAGGAAACTCCGCATTATACGCGGCGCTGTTCCCGGGCAGATTCTTCTTCCTGGGTGAGGAAAGTCTCGTATCACCCGAAGCAGACGTTTTCCTGGGGCTTGGGTCGGGCTGCTTCGAACCCAACTGGCCCTAAATCTTCATTTCTCGATCGCACGGCCCCGCGGGTCAGCCAACTCTGGGTCCATGATTCGGTTGCTCAGGGAGGTGCCGATGCGTCAAGACCCGTGGGTGGGTTTCTACTGGGGAAAACTCTGTTTGTCTTCCGAATTCCACGTTTACGAGCCGGAAATGAAACAGTTTCAATTAGAATAGACAACCGAAACATTCATTTCTCATGTCTCAGAAAGTCAGAAATGAAAGCAATTTTTTCCTCTGAATGTCAATCTCATTTATATAACTTTTTTAAAATCTTCATGTGTGGTCTTTTAATTTTAATAATGCTCTTGTTTCCCAGCGCGATTTATTTGAATATTTTTTCTACGAAAATAATTTGGCGTTACAATTACTGCGCCATCAAAAAGGACAAAGCAAGAATACATTTTTGCAAAGAAATTTCGGACATGATTTTGATTCAAACACAGGTTGTGGGCCATCAATAACCAGGAAGTCGCAAGCAAAACGGCGGCATCACTTGAAGATATGAAACTTTATAAAGTGTAAGATACAATGAAGTATATAATACACAAGATATTTTGTCCGGGCAAACTTTCTCAAAAAAGCATCCTTGAATTCGAGTTCATTTGGCGAATTCCTTCGAGGCGTATTTCTTCATTTCTTTTGAATTTTCTCGACAAGATTAAAAATTTACTTCTGAAAATCATGAGCAGAAAAAGTGGACTACAGTACTTCTTTTTTTGGGTTCGTGTGCCGTGCACTTCTTTGATTCATCATTTGAAACTTATTGATTTAATTTGCTTGTCCGTGTTTGAAGAACATTGATTCGTATTAATGTTTTGTTCTTAATCTTTTCAATGAATCCTCGGCCCAAAAACGAATGTGACATGCTGATTTAAGGACAGAAAACACCACCTGCTTGCGTCTGAGAGCTCTTCAGTCAAATTCTGGAAGATCCTGCATTGATTTTTTGCCAGAAAAATCTTTCAGCCAGATTTCAACGAAGACAGGTTGAGCACAATCATTTTAATATAGCTTCCTTTGCGATTGAAATTCGTTCAGAGACGCGCTGAAAGAGGATAACTTACAACACGAGGAACAGCAGGAATTATTGTAAACTAGAACTCGAAAGTAGGATTAGTTTTCAATAATCATGCATGCTGATCCTCTATTGGAAACCACAAAATTGGACACCAGAATATCAAAATAAAATGCAAGAATAGTGAAATCTGGTGTTTTCAGAGTAAGAGCTTGCACCTTTCAAAATTTTATTTATCAGAGAATGAGTAGAAATATTGGTCCTTCTTCTTGCTCTCTTCGTTATTTTCCTCGGAATTACGGTACTCGAAGTATACAGAAAAAAATTAGTGTGTAAAATAGTACGTTGAAGTATTAGTCCTCTTTTTTGCCCTCCACGTTTTTTCTTGGAAATTAGGGCAGTCGAAATATACAGCCAAATTCTTTCTCAATATTCAACCATGCAACTCGGTGCGAGGTTTCCGAAAAAGGAAGACTCGAGTTGAGCCTGTAAGTAATGAATAATGTTTTCTGGGATGATGCCTTGTCCGGCGGTTCCTCATATCTTTGAACAAAATAATAATACTGGTCTTCGGAGAGTTCGGACAGACACATGAATTAATTTTCTGCAAAAAGAAAGAAATAATTTACAAGGCACATCGGCGATGAGCGTGCCTATATAGTAGAGATCAAACGACGGAAGTGTCACTGCCGCTCTAGCCAAGATGAGTGATGACAGGCCTGGGGGGAAAACCGGTAGTTCTACTCTATTCCTTCCCTGTCAAGAAGGGCGATTAATCATTGATGATTTCCAGCAACCGTACCTTGCATGCATGCAACACCCAAGGAAGAAAATGAAACAAGAATTACCACCAGGAACGAAAACGCGTGTGCTAATGAAAGAGTGCCCAAGTACTCGTCCATTTCCACGCCTGTCATTCGCTTACCGAGAGCTTTCTCAAGGAAAACGCTTCTTCGAATTTCGCGTGCATCCGCGGGACAATTCGAAGGCAGGGATATAAACCCCTCAAGAGGGTTTCAATGACACTGGGGGAAGCGAATTCAAAATCGTAGCACGTGGCGAATTGTAAACAGTTACGGGACGGGTGTAGACGTATATAAAGAAGCCCTGGGGCTCTGAATTCGTTACAGAAGCATCTCCTCGCTTGAAACTCCTACAGTTCCGTATGAAAAGACAACATTTTACTGAATGCAATCAATTCAGTTCGACAGCTCTCAATAAAGACAATATATTGTGCTCGATATTACCGAGAAAAAAACCAAGAAACTATGATGTTTTTCCAGGAGGTTGACGAAACGTATTTCTTCTTACAAAAAGATATGTGTTTTAATATTTTACCTGAAATGGTTTTACCGATATAAATACATTTCCGTTTTTCGAGAATAACTCTCCAAGTTTACAGTAATAATTTCCAGGTGGCCAAAATGTCATGACACGTTTTTCAAATATGAAACTTGAACCTAAAAAAGCTGAAATAACTTCATCGGGCACTTGACTGGTAGAAAATTATCCTCATCATAAACAATTTTCTAATTAGGTCGTACAACTCTAATACAGTATATAGAAGCGTATTTAAAGCATTTGTCGCACTAAAATTGCATGCATATATATTTCTGAAAAACAGTCCAATATTTCAATAATTTACTGCACCCGTGCACCGCAGGGATTGAAAATGTTGCTAAACTGGATGAGGCTCTAATCCATTTTGAAGGCCCTTCATTTATTTTCTGTGCATACTTCACGAATTTGATTGCATATATAAAATAAAATGCAGCTTGAGAAGTAATACATTTTGAGCTCCAAAATTATGAAAGTCCAAAAATTTACAGGTTTTCCAACTATTATTGCATGAAAAGATCCACAAATCACACATTTGAGCGTGTATATTGGCTATACATGGGTATACACTAATCCATTTTGAAATGTAATCACTGAAATAAGTAACATTCAAGTTTCAATGAAGCCAATTAAATTATTGAATCGCATAACCTTTTTGGTAAATATTTGCATAAGCTCTTATGATTTCAAATCAATAAACTGAGGCCGATAACAGGTTCTATGCGGTCAACAGATATTATCGAAAGTAAACTGCTGATTAAAAGTGTGGCTAAACTTTTGGCAGTTAGTCACGTGATAAACGAGCAGCAACCCTTTTCCAAGGAAAGAAATCCACTAGCTTTTCGTGGAAGGGTTCATCCAGATTTGAAAAATACCCCATTCTTCCAGAGGGATATACAGCAGACAAAGTGCTCTTAAGAATCAGGAGATAAATGCCCCAAGGAGAGGATCAAATATCCTACGTTTTTTTTTTCACGAGGCAAAAGGACAGTTTGTCGGGGATCAAGACGTACGCGGAAAATGGCCATGTCTCTGGAAAATCTAGTCGCTTCTCCTGTTGCAGCTAAAGGTCCTAAAGAGTTTTCTTCTCTAGAGTGAGTGAGAGGAGGATCAAGCCTAGACTTTTTCATCTCCCCAGTGTTCACGGTAGGTTTGTTCTCCGCCAAAGTTATTTCATCATTTCCGTGTTCCGGCTTGCTGAACTTCCTATTTTCCCGGAGTTGTGCGACTGTATATATCACAGGAAACTCGATGAAGTCAATTTGTTTTCCTTTGTAGGGGGAAGAGAAAATTGTTGATTTTCCCCCGCACACAATCTTGCTATTCGATTAACGCCAACGACTCTATTTTGTCCCACAGAGTGACCCGAGTCGGGTCGAGAGGGGAACAAGTGCCGCAATTCCTCTCACAATTTAAGCTCTTATATTGTGCAGAAACCTATATCGGGGTTCTGTTACACGTGGCTTTGTGATCGTGAAGTCGAGTTTCCTCCGTGCTGGGTCACATTTGTTCATGGACCTAATCCTGGAAACAACTTACTTTCTTTTCTTTATTCTGTTGCTACGAAGTTTCGAGGATCTCTTACAAAATAAGCCACGCAGACTGAATTTACGCTTTCTCAGTCCTATTGTGGTTCCTCTGTTATATTGCAGAGTTTTTCGAGTTTTTCGGGCAGTTTACACAGAGTCATAGAGTTATGTATTCTTCGACATAACTCGTATCTATACCTCTCCATTTTCACACCGGAAATGAGAGAAGCCAAAGGAGAAAAAGTTATTTTTTATCCTGTTTTTGAAGAAATGAATGTTTACTTTATCTAACAAACTTGCAATATCGAAGCCCTGTCAAATATCTTAAATGCCTAGAGAACCCGCCTAGCAAAGATTCCCAAAATCTGAAAAAAGGGGTTAAAAAATTATTGACCTCTGTGATTTTTCTGTGAGAATGGTCAAGCAGATTAATTTTTAGCAAGAAGACTTGAAATTTTCAACAAAAGAACGTATTTGAAGTTTTGTTGGTGATTTCGAAATATATTCAGTGGTATTCAATAAACATCCAGAATAAAAAGTGGTTTTCCCAAAAACTTCATTTCATGGGTATATTGGCGAAACATTTGAAACATCAAACATCGTGTCATGCCAGAGAAATATAATCTTTGACGGTGTCCAAATGAATGAATAGTCGTCTTAAACTAGATGAAAAAATGTTAAGCCTCCACATGGTGAATTTTTGGGAATGCGATCACATTCTTCGTTCATGTGTTATTTATTTCGTGTGAGTCATTAATTATTGTGGTTTCGTCTGTAGATATGGTGTTTCTTCATGCCTCAGAAACTCATGAGTGCATTGAATCATATTTTCATTTCATAAAAATCACCATTATGATCAATTCACCGAATAAGTATTGCTTAATTATACGAATCATGTCACGGAGACGGTTAAAATGTAGCAACAAATTGCAGACATTAAGAAATTCAGCTAATTCATCAAGGGCTTTGTATTACGTCGGTAATGTATTTTGTGTTGAACACGTTCAACCAAATTTGAAAGAGTGCATTTCACACGAAAAAATCTCTCGATCTGATTATGAATAACATTTTTAAGCTCACGAGTTTTCCTTTGGTTCAGTAAAAACTAAATCAACGGCATTGAGCTCCTTGCCAACGTTTGTTATCTGAAATTGAATAGGATGTTTCTCCTCATTTTTCAAAGGCTATTGTTATTAAATCATTATACATTGGGAGTGGGGATAAAACATAGGAAAGTTCTCGACTGGAACGAGTACTGATAAGAGTGGATTTGAAACACTTCAGTGCACAAACTTCAAGTTTATTGCATCCTCTGCAGGGAGGAACGCGAATCAACGGGATACGTTATCCAGTTACGAAAGGACTAACATGTTTCTTATTTTTTCCTTTCTCGAGAACATGCATCATGTTTGATTGCGTCGATGGTAACGTTATTATCAGGCTGATGAATGTGGTTTGGATTCTGTTTTCCTCAGGCTCCATCAGCAACATCGACGAGGGCGAATCTTCGTGCCGGAACACGTCGAACCACGAAATAATTTCCGGCGTCGTCGGGGCTCCTTCTTCCGTCACGTCGATACAAGTGGCTCATTTGCTGCGCCTTTTCAAAATACCGCAGGTAGATATGCTGAAAGCCTCATTCGTCCTGCTCGAGAACTGCTAAATTTGTTTCCAATGTTCGGCACCAGGTGAGCTTCTTCTCAACCAGTCCCGAGCTGAGTAACAAGCAGCGGTTCGAGTACTTCTCCCGCACGATTCCGTCGGACCAAAATCAAGTACGGGCGATGGTAGAGATTATCAAGATGCTGAACTGGACCTACATATCAATTTTGTACGAGGAGTCCAACTACGGGATCAAGGTGGGTCATTTATTTCTACAGTGCGTGACGAGAAACGGAAATGTTTTGTCGATTGCGTCCGTAGAGTTGAAGCTACCATGGAACCTTGGGGGTTTTTATCGTGAAATAAGCATCATAATTCGAAAACAAATTGCATCAGATGTAATTTGTGGGAATTTCGAGATTCTTCTGCGATTTATCGGGTCAAAGTAATTTCAGATTTTGCGCACTTCAGTTTTCCACCATTGCAGCAATCACAGAATCACAATTATATTTTGTATATTCATCGGAAGATCTTCTCTGGTTGGTCAACTTATACTTTTTACATGTAAACGAATAGTTCAATTCCTTATACTAGCATCTAAGCACATGTTATGTTTTAAATAAAAAAATTGCTCCACTTTCATACTGTGAAGTTGCGCAATTCATGACGTGCTTTGGCGATTTTCGAAGAAAGTACTTCAATTTCTGGAATTCTGTTTGTTCAATTTATTTTAAAATTGCGCGTGAAATTCAAAGGCGTGTTTAGTTGGATTTTTGCTGCGTCCAATTCTAAATTAATTCAAGACAACTTTCATTGATTCCACAGATTCCACAAACGTGTCCGATTGATAAATAAAAAGCCAGGCGCAGCATTACTGTTGATGTATGAGTAAAATCCGAACTGAAATCCGATCGAAGAGAGACTCGTGGAGACCGTGATTGACCGTTTATTTTTTCGATTGGTGACTTATTATCAGGGCTTCGAAGAACTCGAAACGCTGTTATCGGCCAACGATATTTGCATAGCCGTGAAGGAGAAGCTGGCCAAGGATTCCGGGACAGCAGACAAGGCCACCTACGATCACATTGTCGACAGCCTGCTCACCAAGCCGACGGCTCGAGGTAAGGCGCTTCCGGTTCTTCCCGTATGTACGTCGATTCCTTCCTGACCTCGATCTATAAATTCCTTCCCCTCTCTACATATCCCCCCCGTGAGCAAATCGGACAATCCCTCGCAAATATTCGCCCCGACCCTTCCGCCAATGCTTCCTTATTCCGGCCTTCCGGATCAGTTCACAGAACAGGGAAAGGCTGACACGTCCGTCTTGGACACACTTTTTGATGATTTACAAGGTCTGATTAATCCCGTACATCTTCCATGATAAAAAAATAAATTAGGATAAATGTTTATTGAGACTACTCTGATTATTTATTGGAAAAATTGCAATGAAATTGATTGATTGATTGATAAGCATGCTGCATTTGCTGCTTGTTAGCATTCACAATGATAAAAACATTTTGCCCATACCCTCACCACGTCCACGCACACATCCATTAAAAAGACTACAGCACAGCAGTTCATGCAAATGCATGAATTCTTTGATTGGCAACCTTTTTTTTTTTTTAATAAAAGCACAACACCTGGAACCACAAACCAAAGAGCCAAATTTAAAGCAGAAGGCGTTCAGTACGTTTCCAGATAATTATCAACTGATTGGACAATTTATAAATAATCTACAAAGCAAAGTCATATATGTATAGAGCTAACCCTTTTCCCCGGTCCTTCAATATTTAGGAGAGAAATTGTTTTATTAAATTTTAAGAATACCCAGTCTTTTAGAAGTTCAGTTCTGATTGTGTGGAATAGCTAATAGGCATAATAATAGAAGGAGATGTTCAACAGGTGTCGATGGAATCGACGTCTTTTGAAAGGCTTCAACTCCGTCATGAACATTTGCGTTTTTTTTGCGCCAATTCACGTGGAGTAAAATTGGCATTTTATCTATTTTCCCAAGATCGTTCGACCGCTCAGAAAACTTAATTTGTTGCACCAAAAAACTCTGTTGATAGGTAATGAAAATTCCAAAGGCGTGTTTCGTGCAAACTAATCACATTAACGCAAGTTTTGGGTCGCCTTGAGCGAAGTTCTGACCTTCCTCACTAAGTTCAAGAAATTGCTCATCTTCAAAATCCCGAAGTTTCCCCTATAACTTCAAGCGGATGAATTATACCGGATATTCCCCTCCAAGTTCAGGTCTTGAATGAGGCAGAGACTGTTACTTATGACATGCTGTTAAAACCCCGCCATATGTTCGACGATTTGTTTCATGAATAAAATGTATCCTTCCCTCTGAAATTGCTAAATAACTCGACAATAAAGTGCGAATCAAGAGCACTTCATTGTAAAGACACACGTGCTTTCTTCTAAGATATGAGAAAAACATTTCCGAATTATGAAGGGATGGATCGGTGGCGCAGGACTTTCAATATACTGCTTACGAATGATTTACGATTCGAAAAAAAAAATGTTTCGCTATTTCGAATATTTTCTATGATCACTAAGAATTGTAATCTTTGCTATTCATCATTAATGCCTAGAACATGAGATAATGAGCATGCCAGGTCAATAACAATTTGTTTGTATACTGTATCTTAAAAATAAATCACTTGAGAACTGTCAAAATCAAAATCATACGATCAACGCTTGGCTCAATGACGATGTAGCTAGACTAAAAACCCTTCTTCAGGGATTTAATTCAGTTTAGAGCCTGAGTTGGTAACTTCTCATCCACCTCTTGACATGTGAAGTCAACATATGCTCATCATGCTCAGTAAAAACAGTGAAAAGATCACGTGAAAGTCTTACCTGATGAAATATGCTTCCTGGAATCTAAGTAAAAAAAATTACAGTGCGATTATTAAAGCGTGAAACTGATTCATGAATTAACCCTCTATATCCAGCTACAAAAAAATGCGAAGAAATATAACTGCCAATTAACAAGGATTCGCATTTTTTTAAAAACAGTCTGAAGCCCACCCCGACTTCATTCGAACACAATGGATACTCGCAAAAAAAAAAAAAAACAGTCTGATAAGCCCATCCCGACTTCATTCGAACACAATGAAGAAAAACCAAACTTATTTCATAAACCAGCATTACAGTACTTGGAGGTCTGAAGCTGAAATCTGAACCACGTAGGCATCACATCTGTTGACATTATCCTTCATGGAACCTTTGCAAAAAAAAAAACCGCACACACACACTCCTTTTCTACATGCATATTCTGTAGGCATGGCAAACATGTCCATAAGGCGGGAATTCGCGCGAAGCGTGAATCTGAGCAAATTTGCAGTGACATGGATCGATATTAACGTTCACGACCCATAGCTCCTCTTCCTCGCTGAATGAATAGCATCAAACCAGACAAAATCTTTCTCGAAAGGCAGATAGACCGCAATTTTTGCACCACTGACACTATCCTAGATGACAAGAAATGTGTGATATTACCCAGAGATGAGAAAAAAACCTAATTTCATGGATCAAATAAGCAACCTGTGGCTAAACCCGTTGGGTATTTGTATTCAACCGCGCGTGTTGATGATTGGGTTCTCCTCTGATCCCTCACGTGCAGGGTTGTTTTTCTCTGCGGAAATATACTTAATTTGTGATTGCCTGAAACCCTAAATCACATCTTGTCAACGAACAGGAAAGCGTAATATTCTTTTAGGCTACCTAGAAAAAAAGGTGGGCGCTTCGATTAATTTTACGCCAACTTTAACTTGGAAAAAAAGCAATACTCGTAGCAACTTCAAAGAACGACGACGTTAATCCAATTTAGAAAAAATTGAAAAGCCTTGCCCTACTTTCCTTTGAGGCTTGTATCGCATGAACAAAAAAATGCGAGCCTTTTGAATGAACGAGTGCTTCTTGTTTTTTTTCTTTTACTGATAACTTTGGCAAGAAAGAAAATATATCACGGAATTTTCTTTCACAAAGAAAGCATCAAGTTGTCATCAAAGAATTCGTGTATAGAAGACATTTTTTTATCCAGCATTAATGATATAAATTATGCAATTACTGATTCAACATATCAGTAATTTGCACGAATTGACGCGCAATTTTCCGGCTGTGCATGTATATGTAAACGAAAATATGAGAAACTCTGATAGATGAAAAATATAGGTTTTGATGATTGCTAAAGAATATTTTTCATTATAAATCACACTTTTTTTGCCATAGATTCATCGAACAAAAATGAGTCAATAACCGGTGAAATCCTTTGAGCTCAATTTACAGAGAGCAAATGTCAGCTCTCTTAGAATCGATGTTCAAAATAGAAAAAAAAATTCAGGGTATCTTTTCTGGCGCATAATCGGGACAGTCGAAGATCGAAGGATTTTCGTCGATTCCAGACGCAAGGTATCGACTCTATATTTCTCCCCCTTCAGAATAAATTACGGGGGTTTTCTTTAGAAACAAAGCATTATTTTCTTTAGTTATTCTTGAATACGCATTGATTATTTCTTCATCTCATTTTTCTTCTATCTTATAGGGGTGGTGATTTTCGCGTCAGACCAGGAGGTGGCGAGTGTAATGAGGGCTGTGCAACGAAGAAACGCTACGGAGAGATTCACTTGGATCGGATCCGATGGGTGGAGCGCACGTGCACTAGTGTCTACGGGAAACGAAAAGGCAGTGGAAGGAACACTTTCTGTACAACCGAGGGCCAACCAAGTTGCAGGTTTCAAGGAATACTTCAATAGCCTCACTATTGAAAATAACAAGAGGAATCCTTGGTTCGTGGGTAAGTTGTATGCATTTTTTTGCTTCTTCCTGGGACTCTACTGTACAGCATGTCGGAGGGTCAGTGGAATTCTGATTTTCGTCGGACGCAGAATGATGGTCAGAATTTGTTTTAAAGAATGAAAAATTACAATCACAAAGATCATCTTTTATCGAAATTGAGTACAAGTGGGGAATTTTCATCAGCATAATAAATTTATAAAACTAGCGATGAAGTCTACATCTTTTATCTGGAATTCCAGAAAGACAATGGCAGTTGAAACTATTCACTGTATCTGAAAATTTAAAAGTTTGCTTTTCTCCTGATAACACTTCAGGCGCATTTTCCCCTGCTGAAACACATTATGTTCATTTTTCATCCCGAGAAACCTTTCTTCAAGCCCACCTTTTCAATTCTTGAAGACATTCCACAATACCGGCTTCATTGGTTCTTAACTTAATTTCTGCCAAAAAGCAGAAATTTTCAAAAACCTGCCATAAAGTCTTGCAAGCAAAATGCGTTGGAGTCTGCAAAAATTGTATAAAACTTTTCTGGTCCACAGAAATGTTTTTGGAAATTTATCGGTTGGCACAAAAAGTTCTCTGAAACTTTTCTGGTCCGCATAATTTTTTTTGGAAATTTGTCTGTTGGCCCAAAAAGGTCGAGGAACACAGATTTAGAACAAATTATTTTAAGTAGCTCATCTCCCTTAGTTGAATTTTCCAAGGCCTTAATCTAGTTACACTGGAACTAAATAATTTTGTTCGAACCTTTTGATGTCTGTTGGCAGACTTTTTCCGCAAAAAGAAGAAACGGTTGTTTGCTGGAGAGAACAGGTTAAATTATGCACAGACATCCGGCTTATGTCATTATAGAACAAATAAACCACTCAGTAGCCGACATAGAATCCCATTATCGAAATCAAGATAATTTTGAAGAAAAGCAGCCCTAAAAGAGGTAAACTATATCAATTTCGTTGCTCTCTTTCCATTAATTTTTTGAAAAGGCCAGAAGACAGGCCATATCAAATGATTCATGCTGAACGCAGGAAAGAGCGCTTTGGTATTCTATGTATAGTATATGGACTGAAGCCCTCGAGCACAATAATTCTTGTTCTCAGTCGCTTCCGCAAATAAGACGAGGAAAAATCTCATTTCCTCTTTCCCTTCTTGACTCTAGTATTAGCCCCGCTTATCGATGGTTGCTATTCGATGAAAATCCGAACCCTATTTTATCCCCAGGCGGTTTTACGCCCGCCTGATTGAAATTATGCCCATGAATCTCCATCATTCTGATGGAAGCCTCGATGCTTCTTCGGGAATATGGTATCTTTTCTTCTTTTTTTGTAGGTCGAACCTCACAGAATTGTTCCTTCATGAAGAAGGAATATCACCCGAGGCTAGAAATTATGAGATGCTGCAGTTTTTTTTTTATTCTGAAAAATGTTTTCATCCTCATGGAATTGGAATATCTTTCGAATTTCCACGAGTTTTTATATTACGCATATATTTTCCCCGAGAATGAAGAGCACTTGAAAATTTTGAATATATCTCTTCAGTTTTTTGTCTGTTTGAAATTACTTTCGCACCTGCCAGAATATTCAAGATTGATTTCCGAATGGTTCATTCTTTCTTTCGTAGTATTTGTCATTTATTATTTGTTTTTAATGGTTTGTCTGTTCAAATTGACCACATTTTCCTGCAAAAAAATGCGCCAGCAATAAACGAAGGGCCAAAAAGAATTCCACATGCCGGTATTCTAAAACATTGTTCCCCAACCAGTTTCCTGCGGAATGGCGCCAGGTTCGCAGAAGGTTTTTGCCGATCTGTGGGGAATTTTCTGCCACATAATTAATAAATTCATCAAAAGTATCTTTGGAGTAAGTTATCTTTGCCTGGACTTTCTGAAAGACGTTGACAGTTGAAATTATCTGAAGAAAACTAAAACTTGGATTTTCTCCTAAAAACACTTCTGCCAAATGTTCACCCGCTGAAATGAATTATTTCTATTGTTTCATTCTGAGGAACCTCACTTGAACCTCACTTTTCTAATTTTTTTTCAGACATTCAGAAGCTTCTTCATTGGTTAACTTAATGTTCGAAAAAAGTTTTAAAAATGTAAATGCCTACCATGAATTTTTTCAAGCAAAAGTTGTTGAAGTCTGCAGCAATTTTATGAGACTTTGCGAGTCTGCAGCAAAAACTTTGAAAAATTTGCTGGTACGCGAAAAATTTTATGGAAAGAATTGAATACAAAACTGATATTGATTAGAGTTGAATGGAAATTTTCTGGTCCACGGGCCGAAGAAGGTTGGGGAATCTGTTTATACAATGTCAAAATCTTGTAAATAGGTAATGAGGTGAACATATCGAAATGGCCGACGATTTCTCATCGCCATCATACTGTTCAAAGCTCGACACTTCAAAATTCATGAATTCCACACTTGTGAAATGCAAAAGAAAATTAATCGAGTTTTGAAATTACGAAAGCCGGAGCTTACCCAATTGAGCTGCTCATCCACTTGGAATTGTACGCGATGATCCTTGGATCACTCTCGCATCGTTGCAGAAGTTTTATCACTTCTTTATTTTTTATTTTTGCATCAGAACTAAGTCTGGTACAGCACNCGGAGGGTCAGTGGAATTCTGATTTTCGTCGGACGCAGAATGATGGTCAGAATTTGTTTTAAAGAATGAAAAATTACAATCACAAAGATCATCTTTTATCGAAATTGAGTACAAGTGGGGAATTTTCATCAGCATAATAAATTTATAAAACTAGCGATGAAGTCTACATCTTTTATCTGGAATTCCAGAAAGACAATGGCAGTTGAAACTATTCACTGTATCTGAAAATTTAAAAGTTTGCTTTTCTCCTGATAACACTTCAGGCGCATTTTCCCCTGCTGAAACACATTATGTTCATTTTTCATCCCGAGAAACCTTTCTTCAAGCCCACCTTTTCAATTCTTGAAGACATTCCACAATACCGGCTTCATTGGTTCTTAACTTAATTTCTGCCAAAAAGCAGAAATTTTCAAAAACCTGCCATAAAGTCTTGCAAGCAAAATGCGTTGGAGTCTGCAAAAATTGTATAAAACTTTTCTGGTCCACAGAAATGTTTTTGGAAATTTATCGGTTGGCACAAAAAGTTCTCTGAAACTTTTCTGGTCCGCATAATTTTTTTTGGAAATTTGTCTGTTGGCCCAAAAAGGTCGAGGAACACAGATTTAGAACAAATTATTTTAAGTAGCTCATCTCCCTTAGTTGAATTTTCCAAGGCCTTAATCTAGTTACACTGGAACTAAATAATTTTGTTCGAACCTTTTGATGTCTGTTGGCAGACTTTTTCCGCAAAAAGAAGAAACGGTTGTTTGCTGGAGAGAACAGGTTAAATTATGCACAGACATCCGGCTTATGTCATTATAGAACAAATAAACCACTCAGTAGCCGACATAGAATCCCATTATCGAAATCAAGATAATTTTGAAGAAAAGCAGCCCTAAAAGAGGTAAACTATATCAATTTCGTTGCTCTCTTTCCATTAATTTTTTGAAAAGGCCAGAAGACAGGCCATATCAAATGATTCATGCTGAACGCAGGAAAGAGCGCTTTGGTATTCTATGTATAGTATATGGACTGAAGCCCTCGAGCACAATAATTCTTGTTCTCAGTCGCTTCCGCAAATAAGACGAGGAAAAATCTCATTTCCTCTTTCCCTTCTTGACTCTAGTATTAGCCCCGCTTATCGATGGTTGCTATTCGATGAAAATCCGAACCCTATTTTATCCCCAGGCGGTTTTACGCCCGCCTGATTGAAATTATGCCCATGAATCTCCATCATTCTGATGGAAGCCTCGATGCTTCTTCGGGAATATGGTATCTTTTCTTTTTTTTTTTGTAGGTCGAACCTCACAGAATTCTTCCTTCATGAAAAAGAAATATCACCCGAGGATAGAAATTATGAGATGCTGCAGTTTTTTTTTTTTATTCTGCAAAATGTTTTCATTCTCATGGAATTGGAATATCTTTCAAATATCCACGAGTTTTTACATTACGCATATATTTTGCCCGAGAATTGAGAGCACTTGAAAATTTTGAATGTATCTCTTCAGTTTTTTGTCTGTTTGAAATTACTTTCGCACCTGCCAGAATATTCAAGATTGATTTCCGAATGGTTCATTCTTTCTTTCGTAGTATTTGTCGTTTATTATTTGTTTTTAATGGTTTGTCTGTTCAAATTGACCACATTTTCCTGCAAAAAAATGCGCCAGCAATAAACGAAGGGCCAAAAATAATTCCACATGCCGATATTCTAAAACATTGTTCCCCAACCAGTTGCTTGCGGAATGGCGCCAGGTTCGCAGAAGGTTTTTGCTGATCTGTGGGAAATTTTCTGCCACATAATTAATAAATTCAACAAAAGTATCTTTGGAGTAAGTTATCTTTGCCTGGAATTTCTGAAAGACGTTGACAGTTGAAATTATCTGAAGAAAATTAGAACTTGGATTTTCTCCTAAAAACACTTCTGACAACTTTTCACCCGCTGAAATGAATTATTTCAATAGTTTAATTCTGAGAAACCCTCCTTTAACCTCACTTTTCTAATTTTTTGCAGACATTCAGAAGCTTCTTCATTGGTTAACTTAATTTTCGAAAAAAGTTTTAAAAAATGTAAATACCTACCATGAATTTTTTTCAAGCAAAAGTGGTTGAAGTCTGCAACAATTTTATGAAACTTTGCCAGTCTGCAGCAGAACATTTTTGGAAAATTTGCTGGTACGGTACGCGAAAAATTTTATGAAAAGAGTTGATTACAAAACTGATTTTGATTGGAGTTGAATACAAATTTTCTGGTCCACGGGCCGAAAAAGATTGGGGAATCTGTTTTTCCAATGTCAAAATCTTGTAAATAGGTGATGAGGTGAACATATCGAAATGGCCGACGATTTCTCATCGCCATCATACTGTTCAAAGCTCGACACTTCAAAATTCATGAATTCCACACTTGTGAAATGCAAAAGAAAATTAATCGAGTTTGGAAATTACGAAAGCCGGAGCTTTCCCAATTGAGCTGCTCATCCACTTGGAATTGTACGCGATGATCCTTGGATCACTCTCGCATCGTTGCAGAAGTTTTATCACTTCTTTATTTTTTATTTTTGCATCAGAACTAAGTCTGGTACAGCACGTGTCAAAGACCTATTCTACGCAAAGTTGGACGCATTTTGAGCCGGGAGTGTAACTTGCTTAATCTCAAGCGCAGCCAGCCAGCAAGAAAGTTCCGAGATCACGCGTCGGAACGTGGAACTCCTGGGCTCTTTGACACGGGACAACCTTCCAAGTTCTCTATTCCATTGTAAAATTAACGACAACGACGTTTTCCTCAACTTATGGAGAGACATTATTAAAAAGTTTTGCTTCACCGATGCAAGCAACAGAAAAAAATGAAGAGGACGGGGAAAAACAAGGTATACTAATAGCGAGGAACTGTATACCGCGAAAAACGTGCTGCTCGCTTTCAGCGCATGAAGTTTCACTAAAGCATTCATGATGAACTCCGCATTTTACTGAGATGTGACTTGAAAAGATGTGCACTTCAAGTCTTCCCCCGGAGATTTCAATTCCAGAGAATTCTTCGCTTTTCTTTTGCCCGCTTTTTCAAGGAATGTTCAAGGCAACGTTGCGACTTTCTTCATTCCCACGAGATTGCAAATTCCAACTCTTTTCTCGCTTGTCGTAAATGGCGGTTGACTGTGAGATCCTTCTGAGAAAATTGCATGTACTTCGTCTCGGAGAAGTTACTATATGTCTCGTCACCTCTGCTCTTTAAATTTCAGAAGCTTCATCGCTTCGTGAAACGTTATTTAATTTTCAAACTAAAGAATCTACGTCAATTTCCTCAAAAGGAAAGTTAAAGTGAAACAGCGTGAATAATGACAAAAACGGCAGTCGACCTTTAATTTCGGAATTTTAATTTCGCGTGAACCATTCATCACTTTTAAAACTAGAAAAGTGGGCTCCAATTCAGCTTCCTCTTCGAAAACGTGTAATGGAACCGTTAGTAGACCTTCGCCTTAAAACTTGGGAAGCTTCTTATTGGCGTGAAATATTTCTCAATTTTTAAACTGAAAATTTATCCTGCAGTAGAATTTCCAAGGCATGTACATCTTCATCGAACCTTGCACAATACATAAAACATATTCGACTGTCAATATTTCCAATTTCTCCAAAAGGAAATTTTAGGTGAAACGCGAATAAAAAAAATAAATAATAATGTTAGTATACCTCAACTCCTAAAGTTTCATCTCGTCGTGAAATATTCCTCACTTTTCGAACTGGAAAACTAGGCTCCAATTCAGTTTCCTCGTCAAAAACGCGCATTGGAACCGTTTTAGTACTATAGGCCTTCGACTTCAAACTTCAGAAGTTTCATACTGCTGGCGTGAAATACAATATTTCTCATATTTAAAACTGAAAAGCTGCGCTACAGTTCAATTTCCTGGGCACATAAATTGTTATCGAACCTTGCACAATCCAGAAAAATAAATACTGTAGGCAGCCGATATTTATGGGACCAAGCTGCGGAAAGGTCGAACAGCGATGCCCAGCATGTCCGCGATATTGCGTCTGGCCTTTTCCGCCTTCATGAGTTCCTTGGCCCAAAAAAAAAAAAAAACGATTCGACTCTTCCAGTACTTTTTGCATGATGCCAAAAATAAGCTTTCAGTAGTCTGGGATATAATGGAATCGTTCATGCAACTTTTTTGTTGATTATTGTTTTTTTTCCACCATCTTTTCAGAGTTTTGGGAGCACGTGTTCGACTGCCGCTGGCCTGGAAGCCCAGCAACACCACACAACATGCATCACACGAAACGTTGCACTGGCACGGAAAAGATGACAAATACCGAGTTCGAAGGACAATTGCAATTCGTCAGCGATGCGGTGTTTGCATTTGCCTACGCTTTCAGGTAAACCAACACTCGTCTTGTATTGTACTGGAAATGAAGGTCAACAACTACGATTTCAAGCGAATTGCGTTTCAAACAAGGCCCTTTTTTTAAACGTGGGTAAAAGCTGCTTACAAAACAAGTAGAGGTGTAGAATATAATGAACACATCAGCGGAAATCATGAGAGCTGCAAATTAAGATGCTTCAATGTTGAATATGTTTTTTTTATATGCTCGGTAAAAAAAGGCGCGTTTTACTGAATAGCTATTTAATACGTTATCTCTGTCGATACTTTCTATAATGAAATAATAATCGTGAAAATCATGCGGGCCACATTTTGCATTGAGATAAAAATAAAAAGAGGAAAAGTGGGTTTGTGTATTTGTCATAAGCACAATCAGCACATTTGTTTTAACTTCTCCAGATAAAAGGAAGCGAATCTGTTTTTTAGGGAAAAAGAGTGAACTCTCCTTAATTGGAAAAGATTTCCATCGGCTGAACAGATGCATATCCAAAAGTATAAAAATGCCTCGAGCAAGAAACAGTGAAAAAATTCCAAATAGTGTACTGAATATATACGGTACTGTACTCACATACCACCACCCAAAAGAGGAAGGGAAAGGAAGGTGTAAAACTTTTTTGAATTTTAGGTGCACCTCATACTTGAGTAGCTTGTTGTACATCCATTACTTGAGAAAATGTCAGTAATTGAAAATCAGTTTGTTATAGGTACATTCGTCAAAATTTCAATTTTGGTGCATTTTCTTTTTGAAATATTGCAGTTTCTCCCCGAAAAACATGGTGTCCAACTATTACTTGTAATTATCGAAATTTTGACTGAAATTTTAAAGTACGCATCTTATTCATAGGTACGTGGTGCTCAATTCAATACAATAAATACTTTTTTGTTCTGAATAAAATCCATGCCCTGCTTCAAAAAACCATCGCATGCTTATAATATCCCGCAAATTAAATACATTAATACCACACCAGTAATGTACTGCACTATGGATGAATGCATCCAGATATATTTCTATGATCCTGCCGATGGAAATTCCGTATATGACCTTGTAACGAAGTTTGAAAGAAAGACTCCGCGTGTGAACAACATTCTCTTCCCCATATGTTACATGAAAGACGTGTTTCGACGTTCATTCATGAAAATATCATTGCACAATATATGTATAGCAGTCCGTTTCTGTATGGTCAAAAGGTTTTCTGGTTCCACGCATCTTTCCCCACCCTGTGGCACCAGTACCATTGAATCGCCACGAAAAACGATCACCTCGCAATCAGAGTAAGTGCCCCGCCGAGATGACTGATCGTGAGTGAGCCAACTCACAATAATGGAGAGAGGAAGCGTTTTGATCCCGCCTGTTTCCCCGCCAAGGGGATTAATTTACAGCCCCGGGCACGTCCCAAGACGCGCCAATTTTAGTAAACTTGATCTATTTGTCCCTTCTCAGGGAATTTGACTCTGCCGCTGGTGTCGAGAAAAAATTCCTCACAGTACTCACATAATACCACCGCCCAAAAGAGGAAGGTAAAAATTTATTGAATTTTAGTTGAACCTCATACTTGAATCGCTACTGTTGTACGTCCATTACTTGAAAAAATGTAAGTAATTGAAAAACAATTTGTTGTAGGTCCATGGTTAAAATTTCAATTTTGGTACATTTTCTTTTTTGAAATATTGCATTTTCTCACAGGAAAACACGATGTCCAATTATTACTTTGGAATTTATCAAAATTTTGACTGAAATTTGAAAGTACGCATCTTATTCATAGGTACGTGTTACTCAATTCAATACAATAAATATTTTTTATTTCTGAATAAAATCCATGCCCTGCTTTCAAAAACCATCGCATGCTTATAATATCTCGCTAATTAAATACATTAATACCACACCAGTAATGTACTGCACTATGGATAAATGCATCCAGAAATATTTCTATGATCCTGCCGATGGAAATTCCGTATATGAACTTGTAACGAAGTTTGAAAGAAAAACTCCGCGTGTGAACAACATTCTCTTCCCCATATGTAACATGAAAGACGTGTTTCGACGTTCATTCATGAAAATATCATTGCACAATATATGTATAGCAGTCCGTTTCTGTATGGTCAAAAGGTTTTCTGGTTCCACGCATCTTTCCCCACCCTGTGGCACCAGTACCATTGAATCGCCACGAAAAACGATCACCTCGCAATCAGAGTAAGTGCCCCGCCGAGATGACTGATCGTGAGTGAGCCAACTCACAATAATGGAGAGAGGAAGCGTTTGAGTGAAACCCGGCAGAAAATTGGATTGATGATCGCCGTTTTCAAAACATCGTCGAATGCGTGATTAATGATTTTGACGCAGGAGGAATAAAACGAGAAGTTAAAGTGGCAGCGAAAGACTATAAGAATGCGCACCTCGCGGAAAGCATTAAAAGTCTCTCGGGACTCTCGACAGTGAAGCACTTCCTGCCTGGAATACACGAGATTAACTTCACCAAATGTGTTTCCCTGCTCGACGCTCCATAACTCATCATAACAACCTTTGTTCCGGAGGATGAATATAAGGCAGTATATGTGCTTTACTTCGTTTTGAAGCCCTTTTCACAAAGCCCATGAAGTTTATGAGGTTTGCAAGCGCTGTATACTAGTGTTCCCAAACCTGTGGTCCGCGGACCGCCGCCTATGTCCGCAGAAGTTTTTTGCTGGTCACTGAGAAATTTTCTCCATCACGATAAATTTATCAAAAATAGCAATGATGTCTGTTATCTTTGTAAAAAAAATATTGGAAAGATAATGGCAGCTGAAAATATCTGATGAAAATATTAAAGCTGGCTTTTCTAAATGACACTTCAGACACCTTTTCCCCAGCGGAAATAAATTATTTATTTTTCAATTCTGAAAAACTTTCTTCAAGCCCACCTTTTTTTGGACATTCTAGTTGCCTCCTTGGTCCTTGGCTCAATTTTTTCAAAAACGCAGAAACCCTTCAAATAACTGCCATAAATTCTTCCAAGTCGTATCGAACCTTTTTTGAGTCTACAACGATTTTTTTGATACTTTGCCAGTCTGCAACATTTTTTGCTGCAGAAATTTCCTGGTCCACAAAAACGTTTACGGAAATTGGCTGGTCCGTGGGCCCAGAAAGGTTGGGTAACACGACTGCCCTATACAATGCATTTCGAATGAGCCGAACTCGCGGAAAAGGAAATTCGCAAAGAATTGGAATCAATGCGCTGGAAACAGGAATGTGATGGCGAGACATTTCCGCTAAAGGTCATGGGGATCCAGGAAAAAATGGGGTCGGTTCCAGCTGGGTCCCACGCCCTGAGAAAATAAGTAACCAGGGACGAGAGACACGTTCTCCTGCGGGTTGGTAAAACAAAAAAGAGGGGGTAAACCTTTGTGGAATATGAGGTCCGAGATTGGGACATGCATGGACCCGATACGTCACGTCACAGAGAGTGCATGGAGCGTGGTGCAGAAATGAGGTCGAAATTGAATCACCCCCTACATGACGACAAGATATTTTTCGCGTTCGTATGTATGTGTGTGTGATTTCGCCCGTCGCTCGCACGCTGTGAGATTTCGTGGGAATTTGGTTCTCTGTTTTGCGCACTGCCTGGCTTTTGTTCTCTTTCATTCCCGCGCGAAACAGTCCTTATGAATCAGTAATCAGCTTTTTGCGACTCGATTAGCGTTTAGAAATCCGCTTGATATACTCGCATTACTTCATGTATGTATATGCGGGCAGTAGCGTGTGTTTCCACTTGACAGCTAACATGATTTGAGTATATACTTCATGGATCAGATTCCATGTCCATACCATTCCTATATAGCTGGAAAAACGAAAATTTTAGGCATCGCTTCAGGGTCAAGTGGCTTCTTATTCTGCAGAAATTATTCACACATTCATCCACCCTTAAAAACGTGACTTTTTCGGGGTTCATAAGCATAAGGCGTGTCAAAAGAAAAGATGGAAATAGTTTTTTTTATTTTAATTTTTTCATTGTCTGGATAACCAGGAATTATAAATTCAAGTTTTTTTTTTGGAATACGGACTCGTCCATTGTAAAGCAAAAGGGACATGAAAAATTGCATTTCAATTCTTTAGAAAATGCGTGCCATAGTTTCCGCAATGTGAGCAGCGAAGATGTGTAAAGAAAATATGCCACTCTCAGGATAAATATGTCTTTCAATATTTTGTTTTCACACCTTTATTGAATTAATTACACGCGTTGATTAATTCGCCCTGAAAATGCAAACCATCCTCTTTTTCCGGACTTCAATACATTTCTTTAATGTTCTAGAACTCAGGGTCTCGAATTTTAATTTTCAAAAATTAGAATTATGTTTTCTTGACTCAAGAGAATATTTAAATGTTTAATATCCTAGTACTGTAATTAAGTGAGACTGTTAATGCTGCTGCTTAATTCTTATAAAAAAATTTATGCTGATGAGCATCTAACGAATAAAAATGGAAATACGGCTGGTACCTTTTTTTTTTGCGTGCCTCAGGTGTTGATTTTTGTGTCCTCAGCTGCTAATTTTTTAATGAATGACCTTTTTTCCGACAAAAAATTTTTAAATGCAGACGCAGTGTTTCAAAAGTCACGCTCCTATACATTGTACAATATTTGTATTCTGGCAGTGATAAACCGACCGAAGTCGCATCCCTGGAGAAAAAGAACGCTGCTGAGGATGTTTCGAAAAACGGCCCTCGGGGGAGACAAACATTTTTGGATGCGCTCCGTTTGCTTTGACGTTTCAAGAAAGCAGGGGCATTTAGGATGACTATTCACAAATGCACACACATTTATTTGCTTCAATTTCCTGTCGCTGGGATAAGTGAACCCCGTGGTGCACGTATGAATGTTGCGTGTTTTGTCCCGGGGTTCGGTAGAAAGGGCGCTTTGAGTGTTCTATGCTTGAGTGACGCCAGCTATGGCTTCCACAGAAATGATTGTTCTATAGGGAGACGTGAAGGGACTAGAATGTAACACGAGAAGAGACGTAAGAGGTGGACTGAATAAGATCCCACCTACTGGTTCAGCAGAAATTTTCTGGAGCACACATATCCCCTATACTAACCAAATGCACCTGTCATTTGCTTCTTTAGGGTAAAAATTTTTTTTTTCATATCTCATGGTATGAGGTAAATTGAATACAGTAGATTCTCGTTAAATTGAATCTTGTTAGAAAATATATTAAATTAAAATGAAGCCATTTTAGGTCCTTGCCCAATAGTCAAAATGTTTAAAAAAATTAATTTTTACAATTTCTTCTTTCAACGACTCAATTTAACTGGTCCCAAATAATGGCTTCGTTATAACGAAATTTGACTGCATCTTCAACCTTCTTTATTGATTTATATTCGGCAAATGACTATATAGACTCCGATGCTGACAATGAAAATGTGTCATTAGTTCAACGTTTTATCATTAATTTTATTAATTTTTTTCGGATTCTGCGACGTTTTGTGTCGGAATGATCAGTACATTCAAAAAATTACACAAGTTCAAAAGCAAACAGACATACAGCTGTACTTTAATATTTGTGAATATGTTTCAGCTCAAAGAAAATATTTCCAGCCCTAATGACAAATTTTGAAAAAATGTTGAATCAACTATAACCGCTGCACTTCAAAGAAACATGTAACTTAAGGAAATCGAATAATACTCCTATGTTGCCATTAAAGATGGTGACGCATGTGGTCATTCAAATCAAAAAGTGAACAAAACGTATCTCGGCCAATGCATTTTGTCTCACTAGAGTCACTACCATTTGATTGCCAAAAAGCGGTGTTGAATATGTTCTGTTTGTACGAATATCAGCATATGATTTGAATTTTTGTTGATGAGTTTCGACGTGCGCTCTCTGGAATTTCGGAATTTCCACGCAGCAACTCACAGCTGATCAAATCCTTAAATTTTCTGATCATTTTTTTCATTCTCATAATCTTTTCTGGCATACGAAAATATTTTTTCCAATTTTGAGTACAGTGAGTCTTAAGTTCCTTCGATGAATCTTTAGATTTTTCATTTGTCAAAGTTTAAAATCGAATTTTCATTTTTGAGCTTGAAATATTGCGGATTGATTGGATGTCGTTTGGTAAATTTTCTTCAACTTTGTTGTCCTGTTACTTTTCAAAACACCATAAGGGAATGCCAAATTTAAAATCAAGTATAGTTTGATAGAAGAGCAAGACATTCGTGTAAAAAATATTTATATATTTAGGAGACGAGAAAAGCTGTGGATATTTTCTTGGAATATTTCAATCAGCAGAAAGGAAAGTGCCCTAGTTTGAATGCGAGACTGGATTTAGAATGCACACAAAAAAAAACCCTGAGCGCGCAGAAATGAGACATTCCTCTGATGAAAAAATGTCTGATAATATTCTATCAGATTTTACTTCTACATGTTGAATAGAATCGTGTTCTCATGATGTATCCCGTTTTTCCTCGCCATTCACCATTCACACAAGAAGCCCGTGCTTTTCTTCTCTTTTCGTCTACATAATCATCAAATATCATCATACTGCTCTACATGCCCGCATTTTTGCCAATTTACTAAATATTCTATTCACCCACCCGCGGATAATGTCGTCTTCGAGAATCTAAATAGGGTGTTTTTTCCATTCATGTTCGAAACAATCTGGCCTACAAACGAACGCGATGAACTCTCAGTGCCGAACTGCGATCACTCAATCATTTACTTTACTATTACAGGGATCTTCACAGAGACCTCTGCGGGAAAACGCGCGGACTTTGCGCAAAAATGATGCCGGTTGAAGGACAAATGCTGTTGCCCTACTTGCGCAACGTGTCGTTCACTGGTGAGACTCATGACCAGCATATCTTGACTGGCCGACCGGTCGATGACCAGAGTCCGTATATACTCTGTTTTCCTCTTTTCCGATCCCCCAGGGCTCAGCGGGGATCAATTTCAATTCGACTCCAACGGTGACGGGCCAGCAAGGTATGCCATCCTGCACTACAAGCAAATTGCCCCAGGCCACTGGGAGTGGATTGAAGTCGGGAAATACGAGAACCAGGTCCTTCATCTTAATATGTCAGGTACGAATTGAACTTTTGTCTATATAAGGAGAATACAATTAAGAATACGTATCGACATGGCTTTGTGCTGAGCACGAAACCATGTCTGAAGAAATCAATGGAAACCACAGCTAAAATGGGTAGGGTTTTTTTTGGCGTTTCCAGGGCTGATCTCGTTTCATAAATTTATGTAGTTACCCGTGAACGGACAACTTGGGTTACGCTTATTAAATAATCGAAACGATAATTGAAACGGCTTCAAAAAGGCGAACCTTCTCGTGGCATTCTACCGAAAATTTTCATTTTAAAATATTTTTGCATGTTGAACACACGATGAGGGTAAACAATTTCTACTAAGCGTCTTCTGTTCTTTTAAAACTACAGTGATTGAAATATATGTGGTAAACTTATTTTATTTATTTCATTTCGAATATTGATGCGAATTTTATCCGAACATATTGTCCAAATGGATTTATGAGCACATGGTGAAATACACGAACCATCAGGGATAGGAAGAATTTTTATCATGAAAACATGTTTCATGTCAAACTTGAATTGATGACTGCATTTCTCAAGTTTTCTCCCAAGTCAAAATTATCGCAGAATTATTGAATGGCATTTGAAAAATCAAGCTATGTATTCGAAAGAAAATACTATAAATTGGCACACGCTAGCATTTGAGCATAGTGGCTGTGAATGCTGCAAACATGAGTTACTCAGATTCCACTTTTTATAGTTCAGCAGACCTTGAATACTGATTTTTAATTGAAACCGCTTGATTATACGATTTGAAAATAAATGATCAATCAAAAATATCCGAAGTACGTAAACATATCTTCGTTCATGCTTTTTCATTCGAAAAAAAAAAATTCAACTCGCATAGATTATCGTAAGAAAAAAATCAATAACCATCATGTTCGGCATATGTTTTTTTCTTTACATTTATGAGGAAATACTGAATATAAAAATATTCCGGAAGTGAACAATAAAATGAAAGCGGCTTTCTTGAATTTTACAAACGTAGAAGATTTCAGTTACGTTCTTTCGTATAGATGGCGTGAGAATTTCCGTATCTATCGAGCAGGGTTCTCCCTTTATTTCCCCGGGTCACCGCGAGTCATTGGAGCTCGTCGCCGATAATGCCTTCGATTCCAGGTCACGCTTACGTGAATAATCGAGGTCGTATTTCTCGGGGAACTCTTCCCGGGGTTCGGGGCAGATCCCAGGAATTTTTCTGCGTTTTTCGCTGTCTCGCGCTGAAAAATTCATCGCACGTACTGCTGATCGCGTGCCGCGACGCGGCCGAAAATTGCACGACATATTCGAGAGCGTCTCGCTCCTCTCGAGCTCTAATTTCCGAGTGAAATTCCAACATACGGCAAAGGAAATGTTGCGGAATTTCCTGAGAAAATTGTGTTAAACCTGGCCCTGGGGGGAGGGGGGGGGTTGGAGCGAAAACCTTTTCCTCGTTACGATTTGCCCGATGAGGCATCGAAGAGAAAATGCTTATTCAATTTATCCAAGCCTCCTTTTTTTCCAGCTATTCAGTACAAGTACCACAAGAGAGACATACCGGAATCCGTGTGCAGTCGGCCTTGCCAGAAGGGCGAGAAGAAAACCTACGTGGAAGGAGAGATTTGCTGCTGGCATTGCATAAACTGCACTCAATTCGAGGTGAGTGCCCATGCAACCCACTGACAGGGGTTCAATCACTGATGCTCAGCACTCTTTCTCACATTGTGCACACAAAAAACGGTAGCTTTTCTCGGGGACCGTTCTCTATAAATCTTCTTGCACACAGTATATTGCTAGAAGGAGATTCCCAGTTCAATGTTTGATACGACAGTCGCGAATTACAGTATTACCGGGAAACTCGTAAATCCGAGTGAAATACCATTTCCGAAACGAAAGTGCGCCCGTACATTCAACAAGTCGGAGTTCTGCATGCATAAACGAAATACACTGCAGGAAAAATGTGTAAATGCAGTTCAGAGAAATTTTTCTCTGGCCCAGAAAAATCCTTTTTCTGTAATGTTTTCTGCAATTAAATCAAACGGAAACAACTCCGCTCTCTTTCATGCTATGAATTCATCACGCAAAATGTCCGTAGGAATTCCAACTAACGATATATTGAGCAATCTTTTTTGCCAATAGATGCCCTAGCTTGCACGAGTTGCCAAATAACTTCAGTGCACGAATTACAAACATTTCATTCGTCAATATCCGACAAAAGCACGTGGGAAGTCAACGGTGTGTTGCATTCATCAGTTTCCGATTCCTCGATTAAACGCCAAAAAATTGTTTTTTTCTTTGGAATCCAAATTCGACCGCATGTTTTGCGAATTATTTTTTGCGCATCCGTCATACATTCCATCGAAGGATTTCGTCTGGATAAGATAGATAATAATAAGATGGTTTATTTACAGAAAATTCTTGCATTATTTGAGAAGATGTCATTACTATCATGTAAATCGGGATATCGGGATTGCAGTTGAAAGAAATTGCAATTCTGTTTTATTCTAAGCAATTTAAAATTATGTTAGCATATTCAAGGCCAAAGTCTCAATGAAACACAGCTTAGCATTACTCAGTTCATAAAGTTCCTTTATTATACTGTAGCTGTAGCTGTAGGGTTCTAATCAGATCTGTAATCATTAGTATAATAACTATGCCTCCTGGAATGAATTTTACATTATTGAATTTTACTGACCACAAAATGTGAGGATATTTCTCGATGAGCTTCAACTTGTAATATCTTTATCGTGTCATCAGCAGTTGAACAGCTACGCTAATTCGAATGAATAAATCAATAGAAAATTTCGATCCCACGGGCCTTTTTTATTCGGACCGGAAGTTTTTGAACAGATTTTTAGGTGAACCTGCAATTGAAGGAAAATAAATGTTGTTTCACGAAATCGTGACATAATTGAACAAACTGCAATGTTGCGAATTCGGTGTGTTTTAGATACTAAATCCGAATGATGACACCCAATGCTACGAATGCAAGCAAGGAGAACTCCCAAACTCGGACAAGACCAAGTGCGAACCCCTGCCCGAGGACTACCTCCAGCCCACCCAGGCCATCGCGATCGGGGCCATGGCCTTCGCCACCGCCGGGATTTGCATAACCGGCTTCATCATCGCCATGTACGTGAAGAACCACGACACGCCCGTGGTCCGGGCATCGAGTCGGGAACTCAGCTACGTGCTCCTCAGCGGCATCTTCATGTGCTACGGCCTCACGTTCATCCTGGTCCTCAGACCCACTCACATCGTTTGCGGAGTGCAGCAATTCATGACGGGCTTCTGCTTCACGGTCGTCTACTCGGCACTCTTCACGAAAACGAATCGAATCGCGCGGATTTTCGAGGCCGGGAAAAAGTCCGCCAAACGACCCTCGTTCATATCGCCCAAGTCCCAACTGCTCATCTGCGCGGGGCTAGTGTTTGTGCAGGTCATCGTGAACGTGATCTGGATGCTGGTGCAGCCGCCGGTGGCGAGGAACCACTACCCGACCCCGTACGACAACTTGTTCGTCTGCGAGGCCTTCATCGAATTCGACTACATGATCGCGTTCGCGTACCCCATCCTGCTCATTGTGAGTTGCACCGTGTACGCCGTGCTCACTCGGAAAATCCCCGAAGATTACAACGAGTCCAAGTACATCGGATTCGCCATGTACACGACGTGCATCATTTGGCTCGCGTTCGTCACCATTTACTTCGTCACTGCGGCGCACATCCAGCTCCGGATCGTGACGACGTGCATCTCTGTGAGTCTCAGTGCCACTGTGGCCATGGTCTGCCTCTTCACGCCCAAGATGTACGTCATCATTCTTCACCCCGAGAAGAATGTTAGACAGAGCATGATGAAGAACAACAAGCAATACTCTGCCATCAATAAGGGCGGCCCGGGGGCTGCGAAAATTGTCACCCGACCCCCCGTGCAAACTGTCAGCACTGCTACGCAGTATGAAGGTGAGAAACGACTGCTGTGTGGAACTCGTTACAAGAAACGATGTTTGGACGAATATAGGCAGGTGTTTGTTCAGCAAGGGAAAATAAACCTATACTGTAATTACGCAAATAGTGTGGAACCCCGGGGTACAGCAGCGATTCAACTTGGGGACCCACAAAACTGAAAACATCTACCCCAATATTCAGAAAAATTTTCAAGAATTTTTACACTTTCTAAAAATTTCTAGAAAAACTGAAAAATATTACTCCTTGAAAATGTGAATGTCTCTGGAGGAAATGGAGCTATTTACATTTCAAGATTTTAAAAAGATATATAAAATTACTCCAATTCATAAACAAAAATAGGCTAATTTTGTGATTCCGTGTTCATAGTTTTTTCATCATGTGTCCACAGTATTAATATAATTGTTCTTTTTCTTCTGCGATTATCTTCTGCATCTTTTAGTTGAGAAAACTATTGTATTCAATTTTTGGAGGATTTATGCCCAATCTTATGTTCCATATTAAAGTCCACGGGTAAATTTGATCCGACAACGCACGCTCCGAAATATGGACAAGGCACAAGCACCAATTACGTCCGCATCTCGGGGCCCCACTGTACACTCACGTAGGGTGATTATTGGATGCCTTCATCCGGAAATTCAAAAGCCGCCTTCAGGGGACGAATTTTAGAATAACCTGACGAGTCATAAAAACCGTTTCTGAAAATCATAAGGTTCAGTAGCCTGACTATGATCTGTTAATATCGTCAGAGGGATATAAAGCGAATTCTGTGAAAATTGTGAGGACGGTACGTGGGCTAGTGAATTTTTTTTTAGAAAGCCGATACTTGAATGCCTTTGTAATTAAATAGTAAAATTGTATTTATATACTTCATGTCGTAAAAGTCTTTTCACGTTTTTCCTAGTGTACTTGAAAAACTTTCGTCTTGTTCCTTTCTACGATCGTGGAAGAAAACCGTTTCTCTCTCCCTCACTCTCGAATGAAAACGGTTACGGTTCTCTCATTCTGCACGCAAATTTTTGCCAGATATGACAGCAACGGAGGTCGAGGAAACGACTCAAACGGTCGGGAAATCGTCGCCGAACAGCCTGTGCATTCCGGACGGGAACCCGCCTATGCAGACAGCAGCAAGCACCATATCCGAGCAGTTCCACCAGCAGCTTGCAGCACCACCAGCGCCAGCACCACAACCACCACCACCACCAGCAGCAGCATCAGCCGCAACAGCAGCTCTAGAACAACAACCGCCACCACCACCAGCGTCGGAAGCGGCAATATGAAAACCGTTGCAGCGGAGAATAAAAAATCCGGTGGCAGTTCCGTGCTGCGTTTTGGCGCAAGTCGTCAGCATTTTCTTTGCGCCTCTCGGGTGCACGGCAATATTTCCGTCGCACGCGACGCGTTTATGGTCTGCATTTTCGAACGATGCCGTGCAAAAATCATCCGCGGTATACGGCGAGCAGTATACTTCCGTCATGTCTCAAGTACGACGGTCTTTGGTCGAAAATTTCGCTCGAAATTACCGCTGATGAACCTTTCCGATTATTGTTTTGTTCTATCGTCTCTCTATAAGATGCGATATTTTACTCGGAAGTAGGACGTACTGTACTTCGTTCTTCTCGAAAATTGGTTCAAAAATCAGACTGAAGGTAAAATATTCAATGTCGGTTAAATAACATCGAAATGACCAGCGACATTCGTTATTGTTTCTGACTTCGTGACGAAGAACGCATTCACCAAATTGGAATTCGCTTAAAATTCAATTAAATAAAATATGTTGATCTTATACGGTTCAGTGAAATGAAAGTTGGGAGACTTATTCCTGTTGGAAGAGTTCAAAGAAATTTAGCTGATGCATAAAGTTTGGATTGGATCTATAACTGGCGTCTCAAAATCGGAAATTATTGATTCCATCAAAATCGGCTTCTCACATTCGCACGCAAAATTATGGGACTTTTTCAAACAAAATAGAAGTTCTTGAAAATTATGGCGTCTTACTCATCGGATAAAAATGGTAATGCATAGATTCCCGCCGAGAGAACATGTGTTCATGCATCCTAACCCCAGAATCTCAACATTTTCAAAGAAAACCACTGTTTACATCCCTCTTAATCCTCCCCCTTGAAGCATAACTTGCATACTCCTTTTAATTTATGTTTGTATTCAGCTAAGCTATAGATTACCCCGTGTTTATGTATCCTCTTTGCGTGTGCATCAAGGAAAAATACTAGCGGATTTACCGGAATAATGCGCAGCAAATCTCGGGGATTTCTTGAGAAAGATGAAGTACGTATCAACAGTTGGTGGGTTTTCCGTATAATATTATGCTGAAGCTCTCATCGGGACTAAACCACGTATCTATAATTTACCATAATAATCAAAAAAATTGTGTTTTATGGTCTTCAAGGTTGTTCTGTTTCCATAAAAAAGTCATTAAATCGAACGTAAAGCATCTTCTTAAATTGTTACCGATTTTGAGGGGGGTCATTAGCAGTAAATTCGACGAATTTTCGAAAAGACCTCGTATACGAGACAGAAGCTTGCGTCAGTTTTCAATCCAACTGAGCAAGTCAGCCAAACAAAAAGGGGAAGATTTGCAATTTTGTGGACTGTTCATTGGTCCAAGTTCGAATGATCTCGGAAACTGATCTGGAATATCCACCGGCACTTCCTTCGCATTTCCTGCGCACTCGACCTATACAAGCACGTCATTTGTTTGTTCCATGTTTATCCATTTTGCGAGAATACAGGGAGGACTTGAATAACTTTTTTGTTTGATTGCCAAGCTGTGGTATGTATCTCTTGTAAAGGAAGACTTGGAAATATCTTATAAATTATTTGAGACACATCTGAAATATTTGTCTGAAAAAATGTGGATAGTTAATCATATCCACAGGGAAATTTCTTTTTATTTAAATTTGTCCTGGTTTTCCTGATACAGCCTGAATTAGATAATACTTAAAGGCATTATCCTGGACGGATTTCTAAATTCGTGTTAATTCAAGCAATTGAACGTATTCCACAGTGAAAAAGCGCAATTAAATATGGCTTTATTCTCATCAAATATATACTTGTTTCGTAAAATGCGTGTTGTCCATCCTGATGCCCCATTAATTGGGCATTAATAATGCGCATTGACGCGGACTGATTAAATTTTTTATTTCAGACAGTTGAAGGTACGCCACAGTAAAATAAGATTGGCGTAATTATTCAGGGTCCACCTTGTATATCTTGAGATTCCAGGATTTGCTCACCTGAACCCCAATCGTCGAGAAAAGAAAAAAAACATTTAAGCCCATCAGAGATAAGGTGTACAGACGAGAGAGAGCGAGTATTTTCCTGTCGGTTCAATGTTCGATGTTCCTCGGAGATTACTTTTTGATGCTCATGTTCGAAAACGAGACTAAGAGTCTGTTTAGAGGTAACTTGCTGTGAGAAAGGGAGTAAAAACGAGTTGATTACATCCTGAGCCATTCCGGAAGCGCGAATGTAATGACGTTACCGACAAGAGGGTATTCCTCGGGTATTCGCTGTGACTCGTTCGCCGACGAACAATGACGACATTCGTGGTTCTTGTCGTCGTTCCTTATTCTGTGTAGTGTCGGAAGAAGATGAAGAAAAGTCTCTGTTTTCGTTTGGTTTTGATACGAGGATGTTTGATTCGCGAGAGTTGGATGCTTCCCCTTGCCCCCGGGGCCACGAAGATGACTGAGCGTTACCATCAGTTCTCGGGAATTAAGGGCAATTTTTTCCGGAATCGCTGCCAACGACCTTGGCTCGGAACTACGACGGAGAATGTGGTGTCTTGTTTCGTATAGGAATAGAGACGAAATATAGCTTGGTGATTAATGTACGGCGGCAGCCATGTGAACGAATCTCTCCAGAGGAAAGAAAAAAAACCTTTTGTAGCTTTCCAGATCGAGTGTCCTTGTAGAACAGGGGATGAGGAACAGTCGTCCAGGGTCATCGGACGTGACTTTGCTTAATGTTGCGATTAATAACCGCATGTGCGAGATTGCTACTGAACGATGGATATTTGATTGTGTTTCCGGACTTGTAATTATTTTCCGGTGATGGCCGGAAAATCCCAGAGGATGGAGGGGCCCTGGGGCACGGGGTGGGATTTCGGAGTATCAGGGAAAGGATTTGCCCGGATTTTTCTCCTTCCTACAAATCTGCGCACTGCTATGAGGACGGTTAATGAGACGAGAGTCCCTCGGAACAGGAATTCCCTTTTCTATATCCTCTGGTTTCGATCCCAGCACTGGATTTTTTTTCTTCTGTACGTAGGGACGTGTACTTCATTTTCAGCGAGATCCTTCCTACTTTTTCTTGGCTTTCGAGATGATTTGCATTTATTTCTGATTGAACGAGCTTTTTTCCTCCCCTGAGGACTGAGAAAAGGGGGTTCGTGCGGAGTGATTACTCGCTGATGAACCCGGGAAAACCAGAATATTCCGGGTAGTCATGACCAGGAAATGTGCGTCTGACGCAAATGAGACAATGTGACAAATAGGAGCGGAAAAATCCTGGGATTTTCCGGATAACCGGAAGTGTTTCGCACCAGGGTCGGGAAATAAATAAATGCTTGGAATTTTCTGCAATAATTATCTAAAAATGCGGCGACATTGCCAATTTTTTTTTCACATGTCAATGTCGTCTGCTGAAATTAGTGAGACTCATTTGGAGAACTTAAAACCGTGCAAAACAAATCCTTTCCCTCTCCACGATGTCTTAATACACGGTTCCTCCTTTCGTTTTAAACATTTCGCTTTATTTTCATACAGATTTTGCGAAAGCTGCAAACTTTGAAAAACGCATTTCGTAGGCTTATATCATCCCTTGAATAATTCTGAATTTCTGATTTTAACAATTTACTTGAAACTAGGTTCATAGGGGTCTTGGACAGCAAAGGCAAAAGAAAAAGGGGTTGCAATTTCCCCTCAGTCGAGTAAGATTGGGAAAGAGATCGTGAAAGAAGTTACTGAGTCACTTCCGATTCCCGAGAGTCCGAGTTCATTCACAATTCGAAAGACTGTTGAGGAAATGAGAGCCCCGACTTTTGTAGCCCTGTTTGGGGTTACAAAGCCATCCCATTTGTCATCCGGAAGAATGGAATGGAACTCGGATAGATTTCCATTCTGTCTCCTTTCTAGGTCATTCCTCCTCATTTTCCGTCTCGGAATCTTGCTTGTCAGGGGTAAGCATGGTCTTGTCCTCTTCGGGGGGAGAAAAAAATATGTTTTTTCGCTCTCTTGGGACACGTAACTCAAGCACAGACAATCATAAACGCAGCAAGTTCTTGTGATCACTGTAATAGATTAATGGTTTCGAACGATCAATGGTTTAGAAAATATACAAAAAAATAACCAAGGTTTGTAGAACAGTTTTAGAATTCATGAACAAGCATACTGAATCAAAAAGCCGTTCAATTACGACTTGGGAGTATTTTTTTAATTATTTAAACATCGTTAGTCGTTTAAAAACGGGTGAAAATTATCTCGAAATTGATGAAAAAGAGCTTTAAAATTTTCAAGCGCTGAGAAAGAAATACGAATCATGTTCTATATTTTTATTTAAAAATTGGAAGCATTTTTCAAGAGTTTCAATTCTGTATCAAAAGTTGTTCATAGGAAATTTTAAGGATGGCACTTCGAACACGGATTTATTTTAAAGTTAGCTTTTAATGCCCGTATTATTGGGTAGAAAGAAACAGGACTCTTGATGTGAAACATTGATTCAATGATAAATATATAGAGGATGCGCTACGTGCTGTGTGTAAAAATTGGCATGTTGCCAATAAGTCCCGCATAAATGATTCGAAAGTGGGCGTGTATAACTGTAAACTCGTCAACCTACCGCAAATGAGACGCTATATAGAGGCTCATGTTCCGTACACTGATGGGGTCATAGCCGGAAACGCCATGGAGACGAGTGGGCTGAGATTCCTGGTATGGCCCACACAAAAAAAATAAACAGAAGATGGAATAAATAAAATAAACAGATTTTCTTCCGCTTGGGTGCATCGATCAACGCGAAGCTGCCGTTGATGTATCTTTCGCCTGGGAGGTTTCAGCCATCCCAGCAGTGACCCCCCTTGCGCTGCAACTCGTAAAAAGACAGCGGTCGAGGGAAGATTAATGACCCAATTTATTCCGAATGCGGATCAACGAGCACCCTCTGAAGAAGCGATTCGCAGACACCAGAAGAAGAATAAGTGGATGAAGAAGAAAGGAGAAAAGGGGAGAGAAACGAAGGAATTTGGGATCCCCCTAAGGCT